AGTATTTCAGGCATGGAAAGCCAAGACACTCTGAAAAAAAAAAAAAAAACCTAAATGAAAGGTCTCCGCAAGTGAGATCCCAGTGGAAAAAACGGGTCATCAAAGAAGGAGGTACCTTTCTCTGAAGGGAGGAGAGAACTTCCACTTTGACCATGGCCTTGTCTAAATAAGATCAGAGTCGGTGAACTCAGGGGGCTTCCATAGCCTTGGCAACTCATGTCAAGAGCCTAGGGTGATTACTGATGCCATAAACAAGAGTGTCAATTTGTTAAGTCAACAACAGGAGTCACTGTGCACTTACTCCTCATGTAGGATCTTTGTCCTTAGTGTGCTGTACATTGAGACTTAATGCTATAACTAGTACTCAAGCAGTATTTTTCACTTTATGTTTCTGTGTGGGAGCAAACTGTTGAAATCTTTATTTAATGTATGCTAAACTGATCTTCTGTATATTAAGAGAATCAAAAATGAATCTTGATGTGAATGGAAGGGGAGAGGGAGTGGGAAAGGGGAGGGTTGTGGGTGGGAGAGACATTATGGGGGGGAAGCCATTGTAATCCATAAGCTGTACTTTGGAAATTTATATTCATTAAATAAAAGTTTAAAAAAATGAAATCTTTTCATTTACAACAAAATGAATGTATCTAGGAAACATTGTGCTTAGTGAAATAAGCCAGTCCCCAAAAGACAAATATCGTATGTCTTCCCTGATCTATGATAACTAGTAGATCACCTAAAAGGCAATCTGTAGAAGTGAAATGGACAGTTTGAGAAATAATGATTTGAGCAGACCTTGTGTTAACTCTTGAGGAACAGTGTTTTGGTTGTTTGTTTTGTTTTGTTTTGATATTATTTGTTGAACCAAAGAGTTTCTAACATAGAGTTAAACATAGATGTATAAAAAGTCAATAGAAAATAGATGTCAGTAAGATCTAGGAATTGGAATAAGAGGGATTTGGGAATATGTGTGGGAAGGTGGGCATGTTGGGAAGAATCACCACATTCCTAAAGTTGTAATTATGAAGTGTATGAATCTTGTAACTCTAAAGCTGTATAGTTCTGGATACAATCCTATGGCCTTACTTCCAAGGGTACAGATTAAAAACTTGCCATGGGACCCCAAGTCCCCTTAAGCTGGGTGGAAAAAATACCATCTTAAGTGTTAAAGTGATCATATAGATAGGGTTAAGGCTCTGGTAATAAAAATAGATAACATTAAAGAGGAGGTAATGCTCCAACATGGGAAGCAGTCCACACAGCAGACTCATAGAATGACAATCACTTTAAGAAGCACTCTGACCTCAGAATCAGCCCTTAAGGCATTCTGGTCAGGCTGAAAATCCCATGAGAGCATTTCAGGTATGGAAAGCCAAGACAGTTTGTCGAAAAATTTCCTACATCATGGACCTCAGTGGGTGAGACTCCAGTGGAAAGAAGTGGTCACCAAAGAAGGAGGTACTTTTCCCTGAAGGGAGGAGAGAACTTCCACTTTTGCATTATTTAAATACTGATGGAGTTTGTGGATTCAAAAGTCTTACATAGCCTAGGCAACTCATGTTAAGAACCTCGGGTGATCACTAATGTCATATGTAAGAGTGTTAATTGTTAAATTAACAACAGGAGTCACTGTGCACTAATGCCTCATGCAGGGCCTCTGTTCTCAAAGAGTTTCATTATAATTATGTCAAAGTGCTCACAAAAGATGTATCATTCTTGGGTGCTTCTTTAAAGTTAATTTACTAAAAAAAGTGAAATTAACTTCAAGATACAAAGACTTTGAACAGCCCTTGTCTTGACTATTGAGGAACAGTTTTGTTTTGTTTCCTGTTTTATGTTTTTTTTTTTCCTTTGCAAATAGTTAAACTCTTTACTTAGTATAGAGTTAGTCTTCTGTGTATAAAGTTAATGGAAAATGGATCTTAGTGGTGAATGGAACTGGGAATGGGAGAGGGAGGAAGGGCAGGGATGGGCGAGTGGATGGAAGGGCGGATATGGTGGAAAGAATCACTATATTCACTATATTCCTAAAATTGTACTTATGAAATGTATGAAGTCTGTATTCCTTAAATAAAATGTTTCTTTGTGGAGAAAATAAATTAAAAAAAAAAGATAAATAAAAAAACCTATGGTAGTGGAATTCTTAAAACTAATAGAGAACACTATAGAAAACTGATATATCTAAGAGAAAATGAAAGAGTAGCTGCCTATCTCTTTCTTATCAGCACATATTTTCTCAACATATGTGTCTCTGAATTTAACTCCTCTGTGAAAACAATATATTTGCTTGTTATATTCAAGATGTAACAAGCATATCAACATGAGTTTGTCCTGAGGATTTCTTTGCATTCAGCACTGACTTTAACATGTATACTGAAACATGTATACCTTGTTGCTATATTGCCAATATAACTATTCAAGCAGACATTTGATGGTAACTAAAAAAATTATATGTAGAAACAGTGCTAAAAGCGCATGTTATATTATAGCACTAGTGCAGATACAAGAAAGGTGGTAAAAATAAAAATATACCTAGAGCAGTCCACATTTCAAGTTTCCATATTACAGATAGATTCTTTCTTTAAAAGATTTTACTTATTTATTTGAGAGAGAGAGTTATAGACAGAGAGAGGTAGAGACAGAAATAAACATCTTCCATCCACTGGCTCACTCCCCAAATAGCCACAATTGCTAGAGCTGAGCTGATCCGAAGCCAGGAGCCCAGAGCCTCTTCTGGGTGTCCCAGGTGAGTGAGGGCACCCAAGCATTTGGGCCATCTTCCACCCCTTTCCCAGACCATAGCAGAGGCCTGGATTGAAAGAGGAAAAACTGAGACATAAACTGGTGTCCACATGGAATGCTTGTGCCACAGGTGTAGGCCTAGCCTACTAGGACACAGCACCAGCCCCTACAAATAAATTCTTAAACCAATGTCCTAAAGTTGCCAGTTTCTTCTACACAATCCTAAATTATTTGGGACAAATAGTAGAAACATTCTCTCTGGTTATCCATAAGTCATTCATTTGAACAGTCAGTTAATATTTATAGAGCATTGTCCTAAATACAGAGCATTGTGAAAGGACAAAATTCCTGCCCTTATCAAGTTTGTATTTTAAAGGAGTAAACAGTCAATCAAAAGTAAATAATGACTGGCTAGGCTCCACCTGCAGTGCTGGCATCCCATATGAATGCCAGTTCATATCCTGCTGCTCCTTTTCCAATCCAGCTCACCACTATGGCCAGGGAAAGCAGTGGAGGATGGCTCAAGTGCTTGGCCCCTGCACCCATGTGGAAAATCCAAAGAAGCTCCTGACTCCTGCATTTGCAGTGGCCCAGCTCTGGCCGTTGAGGCCATTTTGGGGAGCGAACCAGAGGATGAAAGACCTTTCTGTCTCTCCCTGTCTCTCTGTAACTCTACCTCTCAAATAAAAATCTTTAAAACAATGACATTTATAATATAATACCAGGTAATGAGACTGACAAAAAATTAAGCAGCCATAGTAGAATTAGAGAATAGTGGTCATGTGACTGTTTTAGATATGGTGGTCAAGGATGGCTTCTCTGAGGTACCGTTGTTTGAACAGGAGAAAACCGGCTCTCAAAGAAGTGGTAAGATATTCCAGGCAGAGGAAACAGCCATTGCAAATGCTTTGAGGTAGGAATAGGCTTACTATGAAAGAAAAAATAAGAACAGGATGAGCAGTAAGTAAAAGCAGTGTCACAAGAATTGAAGTGAAAAAGTAAGCAGGAAACAAATAAATCAAGTCTTGCAGTCTTAGAATTTGGATTTTATTATGAGCAGATGGAAAGCCATTGGAAAGGAAAAATATCACCCTGGCTATTATGTGAACAGTACACAGAGTAGGGGAATAGAAGAACACAGTGAGGAAGTTGTCCCCTTGTCAGCTGAGAGATGATTATAACTGGCTCAGAGTAGTAACGGGAGAGAAAAAAAGGATGTTTGAGAGTTTGGGTTAAAAAAGAATTAAAGGAGCATGCCTAGGTTGTTTACTTAACCTCATGAATGGTGGTAACCAAAAAGAGAGGCATGGCAGCCAGGAAAGAAGTAGGTTTTTGATGGAGGCAGAGATCAAGACTTTATCTGAAGCATGTTGAGATGCCTATTACACTTCCTAGTGGAGTCAGTTGGAGAAACTAGACCAAGTTTCTATATCTGGACTGGTCATTTGGATTGTAAGACATCAGTACTGAGTGGTGACTCAGTTTTAGACCTGGGGAACAAAAGAGGGCAAGAAGCAAAAATGTCTGAAGATGTAGTCCTGAGAGTCAAGCACACTCAGATATGAAAAAGGAGGGAGTCCAGAAATTAATAAATCAGTAAAGAAGGGATAATGAAGGGAAAATTACTTGTATTTGTATGCAGCAGATTTCAGGAGAATTCAAATGAGAATTTAGTCTTATTACTAGTGGAAATAGGAAGACAAATATCAGCCCAGATGCCCACGTATAAAAATTGACATATAAAGAGGCTTTATGCAAGCAAGAGAAAAAAGTAATTTTAAACACAGGAAAGTTTGAGGGACACCCGGAGTGTTGAGAAATAGGAGGAAAACTGCATGGCATCTACCCAACCACCCTCTTCAGAATGTGAACCATTAAGTCTTGGCAGGAAGGAAAGGAAGGCTCAGAAGCCAGAGGAACAGGGCCTGTGTGCAGTACTGTAAAATGTGAAGCATGAGGACAACTTCAAGCCCAGATGACCCAGCTAATGAGAGGGTTGTTTTCTCACCAATGTACACCGCTGGGGTATGGCAATCAGAACATTAATATAGATACAGAAAATTCCATAGAGGGCACAGCTGTAATGGCCATTTCTTAATGACTTGGTGCTCACATGATTTAAGTAAGTAGGGATCATATCAGCACAGACTCCAGTGCAAACTCAATTCTCTAGTGTATTTTGCTCCTAGTGAATAATATAGGCAACCATCTCTGTCCATTACATGCTGTTACTACAGACATTGCATTCAGGTACAACTGACCTGTGTTGAAGAAGGATCCAGTCCATTCTGCTTCAATTTTAGGAAATACAGAAACTGGTGCAGGCAGATTCAAGGTATTCCCATCCAGATCTTTGAAGAGGTATTTTCTTGGATTTTCACAACCTGATTCCATACAGATTACTCTTTCTAAATCTTTCCTGTGGAGATAGAAACAACTCATTTATTTCATGATAAGCAGCATGAAGAAAAAATATTGGTAGTACAGATCTTGGATAAAATAAATTCAACTGAATTTTATTATTGATAATGTATTACATAGATACTAAATAAAACTCTATAAATATCAGTAATTTCCAATTATGTGGCTGAGAAGAAAAACATTCTTATTAACAAAATAATGTTGATATTTGGATATATACTATTTATATGGATTGCTGATTTTCTAAGAAGCAAAATAAAATAAAATGTTCCTAACTCCAATATCTACTGAACCTAAGATAATCATTCTTTATGGGACTTTGGAGCTTTCAAGTATTTTAGAATTATCACTATAAATATCAATTAAATTTGTGGTATATATAAACAAAGTACAAAAAATATCATCATTCAACAAATAGCTCTTGAAAATTTGCTAGGGACAAGTTGTGAAATACAATGGTAATGAAGTTAGAAATGGCCTTGCACCCCAGAATTTAGAGTTAAGTGGGATATAGAAACAAACAATTGAAATTATAACATTGAATTATAGAGAATATATTTTCTTTGCCTTAAAATTTGTATAAAACATTAATAATAATGTTAATATTTACAGCATGCCAACCACATATTGGGTATTGGTGGTATAAAGAATCAGAATTCTAAGATTATGTTGCACTATGGTTTGAATGACGGTGTCTCTAAAACTCAAGTTGAAACTTAACCCTTAAATCAACAGTACTAAGAAGTACCACCTGAAAGGTAGGTAAGTCATGAAGGTGGAGTCCTCATGAGTGGAATCATCACTTATGAAAGAGTCTGAGTTAGAGGGGTGTACTCTCTTGTCTTTCTGTCCCTTCAGTCCTGTCAGCACAGTGTTCTTCCCCTCTGGACGACACAGCAACGAAAAGCACAACCTTGGAAGCAGTCAGTAGCCTTCACCAGACACCAGTAATAAGTGCCTTAATCTTGAAGCCCCCAGCCTGCCAGAACTATAGGAAATAAATATGTGTTTTTTAGGAATCATCTAGTCTGCATTGTTTTGTAAAGTGGCAAAATGGACCATCATGTATCTTTACAACTACTGAAGCCCATTGGTGACATACAAACACAGGGATGGACAAAACTGGACATCAAGTTGTGTTTAGGTTCCTAAAATGATTCAGGGATGAGCAATAAAGCAATGCTAGAGCTAAGGATAAAAACTTGAATTCTGCAATTAGGGTGATTTCTTTAGATATTTTTTCCCCTCTAATCAAGAGTTTTCCCCCATGTTACAGGTGAGAAGCCTATTCTCCCTGCTCCCAACTTTCCCATAATTAACTAATTAATTAATTTACTTAAGATACACAAATTTCATGTATTTCATATATACAGATTGAGGAACATAGTGATACTTCCTACCCTACCTACCCTCCCACCCACACTCCTCCTCCTTCTTCTCTTATTCCCTCTCTTAATTTTTACAATGATCTACTTTATACTCATAAGATTAAACCTGCACTAAGTAAAGAGTTCAACAGATAGTAAGAAGGATAAAAACACTGTTACTCAACAGTCAAGACAAGAATTGTAAAAAAAAAATCGAATCTCAAAATATCATACACATTTGCTCATACACATTATACTTTTCTTTGTATGCTATTCATCACCACAGATCAGGAAAACATTTTTGTGTTTTGGGGAGTGGCTTATTTCACTAAGTATAATGGTATTTGTGTTTTTGGGAGTAGCTTATTTCACTAAATATAATGGTTTTCAGTTGCATCTATTTTGTTGCAAAAGACAGGATTTCATTCTTTTTTGAAGACTGAGTAGTATTCTATAGTGTATATATATATATATATATTTTATCTAGTCAGTTGATGGACATTTGAGTTTATTGTATATCTTAGCTATTGTTAATAGAGCTGCAATAAACATGGGGATATAGATAACTCTTTCATATGCTGACTTCATTTCTCTTGGAAAAATTCCCAGGAGTGATATTGCTGGGTCATATGGTATATCTATTTTCAGCTTTCTGAGATATCTCCATACTGTCTTCCATATTGGCTGTACTATTTTATATTCCTACCAACTTTAATTATCCACATTTTTTTGAATTTTTATTTATTTATTTGAAAGTCAGAGTTAGAGAGAAAGAGAGAGAGACCAACAGACAGGGAAATTTTCCATCGACTGGTTCCCTCCCCAAATAGTCACAATGACCAGCACTGGGCCAGACCAAAGCCAGAAGCCTGGAACTCCATCCATGTCTCTCACATAGGTGCAGGGGAACAAGGACTCGGGTTGTCTTCAGCTGTCTACCCAGGAACATCAACAGGGAACTGGATTAGGAGTGGAGCACCTAGAACTTGAACTGGCAGGCCTATGGGATGCCAACATCACAGGTGGTAGCCTAACCCATTGTGCCAGAACACCAGCTCACTTTCCACATTTTCCAGCGAAAATTTTCAGATCTTTAAATAATCCTGCCAGATCATATTTCTATGAACCATAGCTACACCTGGTCTGAGCCTATGGAAGCCCCACCACATAGTGCAGGAATTCTTGGCATCATATCATTCTCCTTGTATCTACTCATCCCTGCACAAAAGCTCCCATGGCTTCCTGAAGATTCCAGACACTCCAAAGAAGGCTGAATAATTAGAATCTGAGTTACCAGTGATTTTTAAATTATAAACATGTTTCAGAATTTGAAGAGCTTCCAAATACTTCATAAATTTGGCTTATTATAAATTCTAAAAGTACCTGAGGTGTAATGGAGGAAAGTAGAACTTATTTTTATCTTTCATATTTAGCATTCTGGTCCTCTCTGCTGTTATTGGGTGCATTATTCCTGTGTTCTGTACATTTGGTAGAATACAAATATCCAGGTCATCACTATAGCAGCTCTTCCCAAAACTAGAAAAGGTCACATCTGGAATTTAAAAAAAATAATAATAACATTAGATCATGTAAACCATCAACCACACTTATAAATTACACAATTAAATATTATTATAATACAGTGCATGTCTAGGAGGTAGTTTAAGCTATATAGGACAGTTTCTGAATTTTATACAAATGTTGATATAAAATATCTGTCATTCTTCAAGATATGGGAGTCAGATGTAAAAAATAAGGACATTCCAACACATTAAAGTCTTAAGAGCAAAACTTGCCACTGATGGCTTGATCAAAATTCATTCACAGAAAGACAAACTTCGTGCCCAATAGACTAAGTGAATAGGAGTGAATGCAATGATCTGAAAGAGATCTTACAGACAATGAGCTGCACTTGTCATTGTGTAACTTTTATTTAAGTCTTAGTTGTAAAACTGACTACTAAGGACCACAAATAAGGCATAATTTCTGTATCTTAATGTCTTCATTTGTCTGTAATAGGAAAAATAATACCTGTCATATAATCAAGTTAAATAATTGCTGTGAAAGCTCTTCATGATATATGTAAAAAGCAGTCACTTTTCTAAAGAATCACTCACTGTCATTATAAACTAGCATTGTGGTTATCAATTCCCTGCAGGTTGTCAATAAGACAGCAAGAACTAGACCATAATGAATATTTTTGTTGATGTAATTTCAGAATGCTATTAAAAGTCTACTCAGGAATGGCTGAAACTGTCACTTAGATAAACCAAAACATCCTACCTTGAAGTTTCATGATTCCTGAAATTGAATAGCCATTCCTCACTTTGTGCCATGGCTCCTGGGGCCACTGGTTTGGTTGTGAGGTGAATGCAGGCCACAAGATACCAACTCGGCCCCCTCTTGGATTGGAAGGAGCTCGGTCTCTGAATGTCATGTTGGCTGTCTGAGGCTTTACTCTGTCCTGAATGCAATCAAAAGAGGAGCTAGTGGCCACAATATCTGAATCTCTAAGCACAATCTGCACATCTTGGCGGGAGCTCTGTGGAACAAAAGACACATACACCACAACAAATAGACCAATAGCATTGTCTACCAGAGTAATATTCTCTATCTCCATGCTGTTTTCTACATGTAGCATAGCACCATAGTCAAAGTTCTTGAAAGCCAGAAATCCAGAGATACTGGTGCAATTGTCAAGTCCAATTTCTTTATAGAGATGAAGGCCATGAAGGTTTGAGTGGGCCACATTGTCAGACCAAAGCACTTCAGGAGAGGAGCACCTGTGGCCTCTTATATGAAAGCCAAGTCTCTCTGATCCTGCTACAACATTACCATGGAGGTCGATTTCCTTTGCCTGGTTCACTTTGATCCCTGCCACCCAAACAGTGGACAATGCTGACTGTGTCACTAAAATCACAAGGTTATTAGTAAGAGAATAGGCCTGGCCCTCCAGGTCAATACCATGGCCAGCAGCACCAAACACGATGTTGTCCTTTAAAATTATTCCATGACTGGCAGCTGCATGAATTCCCCCACCACAACTTTGATGTACAGTAGAAGACATTATCCATGATCCTGATGATACATTATTGAATTCAATGGATGAATACAGTGGTGTTCCAAAGTTCTGTATTTCCACATTTAAAAGTTGAAGGACACCTACAAACAAATACAGGTCATCAGCTACTTTCTTCTCAGCCAATTAGAGGATATCTGAAGATATTCTTAATTAAAACGTAATTTTATATTCAATACCAGTGCTATGTTTCATACTATTGATTTTCACTAGCAGAATATGAATCAGAAATATCACCTGAGACCTGAACAGATTTTATGAGCAATCTAGATGGTCTGATGATACAATGTGAGGGGAGAAGAGGAGACACAAGGAAACAAAATGGACTTTGGAGATGGGGACCACTAGTAGGTTTTTAAAAAATATTTAATTAATTAATTTATTTATTTAAAAGCAGCTCAACATAGACAAAGAGAGGAAACAGAGAGGGAGAGGGAGAGAAGGAGGGAAAAGGGAGAAAAACCTTCCATATACTGGTTCACTCCCCAAATGGCCACAACAGATTGGATTGGCCCAGGATGAAGCTGGAAGCCAGCAACTCCATCCTGGTCTCCCACATGGGTGGCAGGGGCCCCAAGCACTTGGGCCATAATTCTCTGTTTTCCGAGATGCATTAGCAGGAAGCTGGATTGGAGGCAGAGCAAACAAGACTTGAACAAGCACTCTGATACAGGACGCGAGTGTCTCAAGAGGCAGCATGATCCACTGTGCCACAGATACAGCTAGTTTAAAGATTCTGAGTATTTGTCAAAAGTCTGTGTCAGGAACTGGATCAGAATGAAGAAAATATGGGTTCCTGGCTGCTCATCTCATAGGTAATATTTCTCTCTGTGTGTTTATAACCCCATGTGAAAAGGCCACAGCCAAGTCCACAAATATATTGCATGAATGAATATAAGGCCAATCCTATAAAATGCTGTTAGCAATCCTTAACAAGAACTAAGTGTACAATTTACTTCTGCCTAATTGATATCCAGAAACATGATATCAATATCCACTGCTTGAATAGGATGTAATGGAATTAATGTTTTTAAACTATTTAAAAACTTTTAATGCTAGCCATAATAGGTTCCTTGTTTTGTTTTCATAAAAATAACATTTGTTCTGACATCTATTACATCAGGAAAAAATAGTGAATTATGATTTTTAGATAAATATTATTATAAATAAAATAAACTAGTAGGTTGATTTAAAAAGGTAATTAGCATTAATGAGTCAGTGGATCTGTCCTTGGTATCACTGTTAATAACATGAATATAAATGAATTAATATTAGTTAATATGAAGTGAATTAATAACACCTAATTCTAATATAACAGTCATTACTATGTGTAGAGTTCTGTTCTAATTCTAAATATATATATGTATATATATATTCTAATTATTTTATATATAATTTTCACAAAAATTCTATGAAGTACATAAAACTATTTTTTTTCTGTTTTTCTCATATCTTTATTTCTTATTTTGCCATAGATTTCTTTTTTTTTTTGAATGTGCCTGATTCACTCCTTTTTTTTTTAACTTTATTTAATGAATATAAATTTCCAAAGTACAGCTTATGGATTACAATGGCTTCCCCCCAACACAACTTCCCTCCCACCCGCAACCCTCCCTTTTCCCACTCCCTCTCCCCTTCCATTCACATCAAGATTCATTTTCAATTCTCTTTATATACAGAAGATCAGTTTAGCATATATTAAGTAAAGATTTCAACAGTTAAGTACATAAAACTATTCTCACTTTTTCAATATGGAAACTGAGGTAGAGAAAGGTTAACAACTAATACCTAGGCATATGGATGAGAAACTTTTATTAACTCCATGTAGGTATACTGAGTACAACAGAAGACTTGGTGGTAGAAAAGGAGCAACAATGCAATGCAATTTAAATAATTGGGCTATAGCTATTGCCAATCGTTAGTCATGCATCCTTTGTGAGGTAGGTCACAACTTCAGCCCTTGTCCCTATTGTTTTGTTTCATTTTTTTTAAAAGTGTATATAGATGTTAACTGTAATGATATTTCTCTCACCAAAAATGGAGGGAGCAAGAACTAAGAATAGGTTTGAGCTGCCTCTGCGGAGAGAGGATTTTGGATCCAGTTGCTATAGCTTTATGACTGAACCTTATCTATACATTATTGTTTAAAACTATTCTTTTAATAGATAATATAGGCATGTGACTTAAAAGGATTTGTCTCCTTTTTAATTAAAAAGATACTAAATCAGCATTAAATCATCAAAAATTTCTTCATTCACATATCATTAAAAAATGGAGGGAGTTATACATTTGAAGTTTCAATTTCACTGAACTTCAGTAATTGTGCTTAAAACTCAAAAGTAGTCAAGCCTACACCTTCTGCTTTTCTGTTGCCTTTTTATAGATGAGGCACTAGAAGTAGAACCCTTGCAAACCACCTGGGACAAACAGAACAAAAGACCATGCACATCTCCTTAAGTTCAGACAACAGGATTCCGAGGTGTCTCAATTTCTCATTGATTGAGGAAGCACTGGTGGATGGTGTAGAAATATTCACAGAAGGATAAAACATCAAAACTATTTGGTGATATGCATCACCAACAGCACACAGAACATAGTACATAGATGAGAGGGCTGCAAACCCTGCCCCATAGAACTCTGGCACAATGGATACCAAAGTAAGTGTGAATCAGCAAAACTGAACCTTATGTTCTGGAGTAGAATCTCAGTCAAGGCAATGCCTCACTATTAATTATTTGTTATGTTTTATATTTAATCTAGTTATCATGGAGAGTTTTAAATTGTTCAAGATTTTACTTGTGTGCGTGTTAACAAATTACTGAAAATTAATCAATTATGAATATTTAAAATATCTTCAGTATTTACATGGAGAATTAAAAGTGATTTTATTTACAACTATTTTCCTATTTTCTTTTGAAACCTATAATTTTGAAAAATTTTCCAGCAAGTTGAAGATAATGTGCTAGATTGTTTTGGTCAAAAAGAGAATGATGAGATCCTCCAACAACAAATGGAATTGTAGATCCTGGCCCTGCTTTTCCAAGAGATAACCGTTCATCACCCACAGCTGTATCCCTGCATCCCACCTCTTCTAGGATATTTTATAAGTAAATGCAAGGGTTCTTAATGCAGTGTGGGAACCTGGATTGGACTCAGTGTCAGAAAAAGGACATTAGTAAACGAATTAATCAGATACGAAAATTGTGTTAAAAGTGTATTTAATCATAACAATATATGAATGTTAATTTCTTGGTTTTAACAAATTTACCAATCTTATGTTAGATATTTGGAACAGAGGAAACTAGGTGAAAGCTGTACAGGAACTTCATATCTATTTTTGCAACTTTTCTATAAATCTTAAATTGTTACAACATAAAAATCTGTTCAACAAGGGCTTCAGGCCAGTGCAGTGGCTCATACATTAATCCTCCACCTGTGGCGCCGGCACTCCAGGTTCTAGTCCTGGTCGGGGCGCCAGATTCTGTCCCAGTTGCCCCTCTTCCAGGCCAGCTCTCTGCTGTGGCCTGGGAGTGCAGTGGAGGATGGCCCAAGTTCTTGGGCCCTGCACCTGCATGGGAGACCAGAAGCACCTGGCTCCTGGCTTCGGATCAGCACAGTGCACAGGCCACAGCGCGACGGCCACGGCGGCCATTGGAGGGTGAACCAACGGCAAAAAGGACGACCTTTCTCTCTGTCTCTCTCTCTCTCACTGTCCACTCTGCCTGTCAAAAAAAAACAAAAAAAAAAAAAAAAAAAAAAAAAAAAAAAAAAAAAAAAAAAAAAAACAAGGGCTTCAGAATCAGATTTGAAGCTAACATGAAAAAGTTGGATGAAATTTCATATTCTCCATTAATTTTATCCATCCATATTTATCAAGCACCTCATACATGGTAGTCACCACACTAAGAAACCTGACATGAAAGATCCAACATTACCTTTAAGAATTTCACAAACTCATGAGGGACTTGAAAAATAAATGGGTAATTGTATAAAAAAACTATGTTTCCTACAACAAGAAAATAAAGCATGTCTCTCATAGGAATGGTAGAATTAAATAAGATAAAATTTCCACTGTGTAAAAGCCCACACAATTTCAGGTCTTTAAGAAACAATCAAAATCATTTCTCTTTTTCTTCCTATGGGGATGATTTAAAAAGACCTGGATCAGCAACGTCAGAGGTTTAGGATAAGGTCAGTCTTGGGGCAGGTTCAGCTCTGACTTGTTGCTCAGTTCTAAAAAGTGACCATGCTCCCTTTACTACGAACATGTCCCAGCTTGACCTGCAGTATCTATTAGTGAGGCCTTGTTCTCCCTTCCCTGGTTCTCTGTCTTCATTAACTGCAGGATAGTCTCACTTCTATAAGACTAGGATTAAACCTTTGCCTCAGTCTTCTAGAAGAGGGTTCCTCATTTCAATGCTGTTGACTTTCGGGACCAGATAACTCATGGAGACAGTTTTTTTCATGGATTAGGGATGTTAAACTTCTGATTTAAGGTCTAAATATTTCCCTTTATCAAACTGATGAAATAGATATGCCAAGAAGAAGAATTCTATTTTGCATACATATGAGGAGTTTGATGCTTTATTTTCGATTCATGTATACAATGACTTTCTAAGATAGGATGTCAGTGACAGCCTTTCCCAAACTAGTCAGGAAACAACTTTGGAATAATGGTTAGGGAATACAAGTTCAATAAACAAGGTCCTTAATAGGTGTTTGATGCAGCAGATAAGATTCCACTTGGAGTGCCCACATCCATATCAGAATCCCCAGGTTGAACTCTTGGCCCCACTTCCAATCTAGCTTTCTACTAATGCACACCCTGGGAAACAGCAGATGATGGCTCAAGATCTTGGGTCCCTGCCACCTATGTGGGAGACTTGGGCCACATTGGAGTCCTGGCTTCCAGTGTGGCCCAGCCACAGCTATTGTGGGCATTTGGAGAATAAACTAGAGAATGGAAGATATCTTCCCCCACCCCACCTTTCAAATAAATTAATTTAATTAATAAATTAAAAAAGAAAGTCCTAATCATATATTTTGGTAGCAGTCAAAAAAATGCTAAGTTTTGGATAAAAAAAATTTGAACTGATTCTTAAAGCAGTCTAGAACATGGAAATCATGTTTACTTATATTTGTACCATTATTAATTTATAGCCTCAACCCGATGCCTACCATCAGATATAGCATGCTATTAGGAAAAAGTGATAGAAATTCAGGAAAAAGATAAAGTTCAAGTGGCTATTAAGTCATCTACAATTTCAAAGTAGAGGAAATTTTTACATCTGCTAAAGATGTTTGCTTTGAGGTAAAAGTGTGCATATGTGCTGATTTCTAGTGCATTATTTTAATATCACACTGATAATTAAGCACAGATTAGGACTGAAAAATTCATAGCTTCTCAGAGTACAAAGGAACTGTTTCATTTGAAGTTGTTTTTTATAAATGAAAATCCGTACCGTCAGAATTCTGAAGTTCCCAGATGAGTAAGTCCCAACTGGTAATACCGAGTAACTTACATTTTCATTTACCTGAGAACTCCTCTCTGTCGCTCTTCCTGAAGGACCCTACCAGCAGTCTCCCCCTACAGGATGTGTCTGGCCGAATTTGTATATTTCGAGTCAGTAGTCCAACTTCAGCAGCCAAACTAATGTGTCGACCATCCTCGATGACATGAACACTTCCTACGGCAACAGGAGTTGGGCGAAAACAATCTTTAAAAGCCTGTTTCGGAAATCACTAGCTAGGGACCCAGTGAACCTGCCAAATGAAAACATTTATTCCCCCTCAAAGTCCTACCAACATTAAGGTCTGCTTTTCCTCAGGCACTCTCCACAATGTCAGCTGAGAAATGAAAAACCTATTCTTTTGTCTCTCTTTGGGATCACAGTGAAGGTGTTTGAGCAAAAATTCATTTCTTCTCAATAGCCGTGGGTGCTGGGACAGACACAGGTGCAGTTGTCCATTTTGGAGAGTCCCCAACCTATTGCCTTAAATGTATCAGAGAGAAAATTCAGTGGTTGGTTGTGTATTGTCCGTGGATCTTTCTCATGAGAACGAGGAATGCCCGATCAGCTGAGGGAGGCAGTGACCGAAGGAAAGTAGTAATGCGTGAGAGTGACTGGGAAAAAGCAAGCGGCAGCAAACAGCAGCAGCAGCCCTGCCCAGCCAGCTTCCGCTCACCACTGCCTGGACCACTTTTCCAGGAACTGAAGAGTCTTCCTAATTTGTTTCACCATCTGTATTTGCATTTCACTTTTAGTTTAATTGGCAATGTTTGCTCCACATTCTCTCTCTCTGCCACTTGTTAAGGAAGAAATCATCCTTGGAAGTATGATTTAGAAATAGTTGGAGACAGTCCTGGTGAAAATATTCATTTCCTTCTCACATGTAAGAGACAAAAAAGATATCCTATCATCTCTTCATTTCCAAGTTTTATTTCTGATTTGTTATATCTCCTGTGTTAGATTTATTTATTAGATTAAACCAGAAAGATAAGGATTTTTTATTATTTATATGCAGTACATGGTAATAGTGTCTACTGTATAAAATAGTCTGTAGCTTTTTTGAAAGAAACTAGAATTTTTCTTTCTGAAAGATATTAGAATTTGCTCTTTCCTTTTTTTTTCAGTAGTAGTAGTGAATACATAATATGTATGTCATATCAGGGAGCACTATTCCTAATGACAGAAAATGAAATCAGTATATATAATGATTACCATATTCTAAAGGATTGTTTGATTCAATGTACCAGGAAATGAACTGGAAATTCGATGCCAGTGAGTTTTGTTTTCACTTAGTCATAGAACTGCCCAGTGACCTTGAGGTTCTCAAGCCTTCTGCTCTTAGACTTGATATTATTTTTCAAAAATCCCCGTACATTAAAGAATTATTTTTTTGTTGGTTACCTTGTTTTATTTTTTTAACTTTTATTTAATGAATATAAATTTCCAAAGTACAGCTTATGGATTACAATGGCTTCCCCCCCCCCATAACTTCCCTCCCACCCTCAACCTTCCCCTTTCCCCCCCCACCCCCTTCCATTCACATCAAGATTCATTTTCAATTCTCTTTATATACAGAAGATCAGTTTAGCATATATTAAGTAAGATTTCAACAGTTTGCAACCACATACAAACACAAAGTAAAAAATACTGTTTAAGTACTAGTTATAGCATTAAACCACAATGTACAGCACATTAAGGACAGAGATCCTACATGAGGAGTAAGTGCACAGTGACTCCTGTTGTTGACTTAACCAACTGATACTCTTGTTTATGCCATTAGTAATCACCCTAGGCTCTTGTCATAAGTTGCCAAGGCTATGGAAGCCTTTTGAGTTCACCGACTCTTATCTTGTTTAGACAAGGTCATAGTCAAAGTGGAAGTTCTCTCCTCCCTTCAGAGAAAGGTACCTCCTTCTTTGATGACCCCATTCTTTCCACTGGGATCTCACTCGTGGAAATCTTTCATGTAGGGGTTTGTTTTTTGGGTTTTTTTTTTGGTTGTTGTTTTTTTTGTTTGTTTTTGTTTTTGTTTTTGTTTTTGCCAGAGTGTCTTGACTTTACATGCCTGAAATACTCTCATGGGCTTTTCAGCCAGATCCACATGCCTTAAGGGCTCATTCTGAGGCCAGAGTGCTATTTAGGACATCCGCCATTCTATGAGTCTGCTGTGTATCTCACTTCCCCTGTTGTATCGTTCTCTCCCTTTTTTATTCTATCAGCTAGTATTTGCAGACACTAGTCTTGTTTATGTGATCCCTTTGACTCTTAGTCTTATCATTATGATCAATTGTGAACAGAAATTGATCACTGGGACTAGTGAGATGGCATTGGTACATGCCACCTTGATGGGATTGAATTGGAATCCCCTGGTATGTTTCTAACTCTACCGTTTGGGGCAATTCATCTTGAGCATGTCCCAAATTGTACATCTCTTCCCTTTCTTATTTCCACTCTTATATTTAGCACCGATCACTTTTCAGTTAAATTTCAACACTTAAGAATAACTGTGTGTTGATTACAGAATTCAACCAAAAGTATTAAGTAGAACAAACAAAAAAATACTAAGAGGGATAACACATTAAAAAATTATTTTAAAATTACGTGATAAAATTAATGAAGAAATAGGCACAAAGCCTTCTAACATGAGTCTAAGGCAACAGTAAAGTATTATGCTTCCCTGCTGTATGGTGATCAGATCCAAAGTCCCTAGGCAGGTTAAAGAATACATTCTTCCTGGTGCATTTACTTCCCACCACCAATAAACGAAAGCCTTACCAATGTGCCGGTGTTTGAGCCGTTCATGGATCCCAACATGGTAACCCTTGACTTCTTTGACAGTGAGGACCTCCGCTTCATGGGGCTCATAAGAAGTGGAACTAAGGACAATTTTGTCATGAGGTTTCCAGTCCACTGCATCTTCAATGATAATTCTGTAACAGGATAAAAATAGTATCAAATATTATGAGAGTGAAATACATTTCGCCTGCTTACTCCACAGAGAAGAAAATCCCCTGGGACCAACACATCCCACTAGAGACTGAAGTAGAAGTAATAACAGACAATAGTGAAAAATAACTTTTGCAAGAAGTTTAATACTAATTGAATAAATTATCTGGATTGTAAATGTACAAGTTACTTCAAAAACTTCACAGAACATGAAATTAAAAGATAAGTATATTTTGGTGCACAGAATTTTTTGAAATCCATGCATATTTACAGTCCTAAAAATTCATGAAAACTATATATTAAGAAAAAAAATAAGTGGTTCCAGTGATGTGGCATAATAGGCTTGGCCTCCACCTGCAGCACTGACATCCAATATGGGTGCTGGTTCAAGTCCAGGCTGCTCCTCTTCCAATCCAGCTCTCTGCTAATGGGCTAAGAAAGCAGTGAAAGATTGCCCAAGTGTTTGGGCCTCTATACCCACAAGGGAAACCCAGAGGAGGCTCCCAGTTCATGGCTTCAGATCGGCCCAATCCCAGCCACTGCAGTCATTTGGAAGTGAACCAGCAAATGGGAGACCTTTCTCTTTGTCTCTCCCTCTCTCTCTCTGTAACTCTTAAATAAATAAAATAAAGTCTAAAAAAAAAAAAAAAACTAGGCATAGATTTTAAAAGTTTTTGCTACCCATAGAATCTGGCTTTTAATTTCATTTTTAAAATATTTATTTATTTATTTATTTACTTGAAAGGCAGAGAGTTACAGAGAAGCATAAGCAGAGAGAGTGAAGTATTCGATCCACTGATTCACTCCACAAAGTGGCCACGTGGCTGGAGCTGGACCAATCTCAAGCCAGAAGCCAGGAGCTTCTTCAGGTCTCCCACACAGGTACAAGGACCCAAAGACTTGGGCCATCTTCTACTGCCTTTGTAGGCCATAGCAGAGAGCTGGATAGGAAGTGGAGCAGCCAGGACTTAAACTGGTGCCCATATGGGATGCTAGAACTGCAGGCGGTAGTTTTACATACTATGCCACAGTGCTGGCTCCTAATTTCATTTTTAACACAGAAATTTTAACCCTTGTAAACATCATGGGTATAGCAAAGATATTCTCTGAACTTTAGGTACAAGTCAAAGGAACAAGAAACAGTAAGAGTTTAGTAAGTGTACCTACATGTGATCTTAAATAGCAGCAAACTTCCTTCTTGGTTGGGAAACAAAATAGAGGCATTTAGATGAAATATTTTCTCATACTTTCTAAACATCTAATAATGTTATTTTTGGACAATTTTTCATTGTGCATTAAGGCTACTATATTCCTTTTCAGATACAAATGTGAATCTTGAAAGTGCAGATAACCAGCTGTGTGACCTTGAGAAGTCTTGAAACTTTTCTCAATGTCATGTTATCATCTGAAAAGTATTACAGGTTCTTTCCAGCATCCTTAAGTGTTCTATGTTCTCAGCATTGTGCTTTCATCATGTTATATTCTGTTCAGTTTGGGTTTTTGTTTAAACTCACATTTAATAATATTTTTGTTCAGTCTTTCACTGCCGCCTAGCTTTTCTTAGTGAGTATGACTGCTTTATTCTCCATTGAGTCATTACCAACTTCAACAACATAAGTTTATTTTAATTACCTAGCTCTTTAGCTAATGAGAAGGTTTTAGCAGGCTTTCAGAGTAGATTCTCCTCTACCAGTAAATGTTTATTCAGGCAAAAGTTTCCATGTGCAGGCTGCCCAACCATGCCACATATACTGACTAAGCCACAGCTATGCACCAGACATACTAGGTGCCAGAGACATAATGATAAATAAAAATATGTCACTTATATTATAAGATGATAAGTTATATTTCCCTAGCAGACAATCTTGATGAGTCTACTCTGTGGGTCGAAGAGTCATAGATATTTAGTTTACAGTGTAAACAACAACACAGGCCAATAGTATGATTATAATTAATTCAAATTTGTACACCTGAGGTCGCAGGGCGAGCATGTGGGTCAGTGATAGAAAAAAAATACCAGTGACAACTGATGCAATTTTAATGAAAGAATTGAGTGTTATCCTAGCTCCTGGAAGAATCACAATATTTGAGGAACAGCCAGCTTTTAGAGAAAAGAAAATCGAGATCCAAAGAGATTAAGTAACAAAACTCAAGATTAGACCATTGCATGAAGTTAGAGATCAAAATGAAGACTCCTATTCAAGTCCAGCATTCTTGCTAGCAAATGTCATCACCTTACCTGTGTGATTCGTATTTCTTCCCTTGTTAAAAGGTAATTTAATAAAACAGCACTCCTGCCTTTCAGAATATCATGATAACCCATTAAATTATGAAATGGCTGTGATCTTTAGAATGTAGCCATTCTTTGTAGCCATACTAAGTAGCCATTTAAAGCTTCCAAAACCCATAGTTTCATGCAAATGTATTTCTCCCCTATACTCTAGAAACTTTGGAATTCTACATGTCATGAGAACCATACAGAAATATTAAAGGTGTGTAACTCCTTCCCCCTCTATTCTGAACTGGTAACAATGGAGTAACTTCACAGAAAATTATGGTCCCCATATGAATAGCCTAGTTTGTTTTCTTAACCAAGTGTCAGTTTTCCTTAAGTTCTAGCATTCACGACTCCTAGTCCCAATTTTTGACCATTACGGCTACCCTCTAATCATTTCAAGAAATTCTAACTTAATGATTATTTGAGTCAGAATCTAGCCATATTATAGTTCTCTGATTAATACTAATTGGAGTCTGGGGCTGGTGTTGCAGTGCAACCAGTTAAGTCACAGCCTGCAACATTTGCATCACATATTAGAGTGTGGGTTCAAATCCTAACTACTCCAATTCTAATCCAGTTCCCTGTTAAAGTGCCTGGGAAAATAGTGGAAGAAGGCCAAAGTCCTCAGGTCAAGGCACCCATGTGGGAAACCTGGATGGAGTTCCAGGATCCTGGTTTCACCCTTGCCCAAGCCCAGCCATTGTGAACCTTTCTTTTTATCTTTATCTCTGTATCATTCTGTCTTCCAATTAAATAAATATTTATAAAAAGTACTAATGAGAGTTCCTAGGTATAAGAGGAGATACTTGTTGTTCTGAACAAGAACAACAACAACAAAAAAAACCTAACACAATAAGTAAACAACAAATTAAGACCTGTTTGCTATATAACTGGACATAAATGGAAACCATATGAGAGAGGAAATTATGAATAATCACTGTGGAAATCTCCTTAAAGATAACTTTTTAAAGGTATGTGCAAAACATCACCACAGTTTGCTTTTATTTGGCATTAAAATTTGATTTAGTTCAGGGAAATATAATCATTACTCTAAAATCCTTATTAATTACAAAGGACATAAAAGAATAGTTTCCTACAAATTTTCTTTAAAAGTTGTTACAATCATGTATAAAATATTCAGATAAATAGATTTATTAGCTAAACCTTTGAGATATCCTAATGATAATAGTTTCATTTGATCACAGAATCAGAGTATACAATCCCAAAATGCTCCTCCCGCCCTTTCTCCTCAGGAATGGGGATGGCCACAGCCTTCTGAACTCAAAGAACATCGAATCATTTTTTTTAACTCCAGTTTAAAATTTTTTGTTAGCGTCATTCATATGCAGTGAAGATCCTTGGACTGCTTTGCAGTATCATGAATATTGAAGAAATCAAAGTCTATAATGATGTTGGTATTGATGTGGGCAACAATAATGGCATTACTATCTATTAATTATTTTTCTACCTAATCTTTCTCCCTCATTCCAGGAAACCCATTCCATCTTTCCTGAGAACAGCTCTCTGTTTCTACCATAGAAGTGATTCTAGTGAAAGTTGCATTCTAAAGACCCACAAACCTTTCATCTAAAGGTAGGCATGAGATGAATCTTCATTCCTTTATCAAAATCCTTTCTCTGAAGGTGGGGGTTTGACACAGCAGTTGGTTAAGATGTAACTCTTTAATTAACACACAATTATTCTTAGGTGTTTAAAATTAACTGAAAAGTGACCCCTGTTAAATATGAGTGGGAATAACAGATGGAGAAGATGTAGAGTTCGGCACATGCTAAATCGGACTTACCCCTAATGGTAGAGCTAGAAACATGCCAGGGGATTCGAATTCAATCCCATCTAGGTGGCATATACCAATGCCACCTTACTAATCAAAGTGATCAGCTTAAGTTCATAATTGATCATAATGATAGGTCTAAGAGTCAAAGGGATCACATAAACAAGACAAGTGTCTGCTAATACTAACTGATAGAATTAAAAAGGAGAGAACAATCCAACATGGGAAGCAGGATACACAGCAGACTCATAGAATGACAGATGTCCTAAACAGCACTCTGGCCTCAGAATCAGCCCTTAAGGAATTCAGATCCAGCTAAAAAGCCCATGAGAGTTTCTCAGGCATGGAAAGCCAAGACACTCTGGCAAGAAAAATTACCTAAAATGAAAGATCTCTGTGAGTGAGATCCCAGCAGAAAGAATGGGCCATCAAAGAAGGAGGTACCTTTCTCTGAAGGGAGGAGAGAACTTCCACTTTGACTGTGGCCTTGTCTAAATAAGATTGGAGTTTATGAACTCAAGAGGCTTCTATAGCCTTGGCAGCTCATGACAAGAGCCTCGGGTGATTACTGACATCATCAATAAGAGTGTCAATTGCTAAATCAACAACGGGAGTCACTGTGCACCTACTCCCCATGTAGGATCTCTGTCCTTAATGTGTTGTGCTATGCGAATTAACAATATAACTACTACTCAAACAGTACTCTATACTTTGTGTGTCTGTGTGGGTGCAGTCTGTTGAAATCTTTACTTAGTATATACTAAATTGATCTTCTGTATGTAAAGATAATTGAAAATGAATCTTGATGAAGAATGGGATGGGAGAGGGAGTGGGATATGAGATGGTTGTGGGTGGTAGGGATGTTATGAGGGGAAAAGCCACTATAATCCAAAAGTTGCAGATTGGAAATTTAC